ACCACTGCTCTCCATTTTCCTTCAAAATAAATATATCCTTTGTTTAAGTACTTGAGTTTTTCGCCTTTTTTTGGGTCCTGTTAGGCTGGAAGCCTGGAACATTAAAGAAAATGGGCATGCGCCTCTCGACAAGTTGGCATGCCATTTCTTAATTAAACTATAGATATATTAATGAACAATCGTCGTACTACAAAATGTTAAAAAAAGACTTGGGTAATATCATTTACATTGACCTTGAAGACTCCACCAATTTTGAACTTGAATGGATAGTTGGATGATTCTAAAGTTCGTTCCTAGATGATCAAAGCTCCTATTTGTACCCTCTATTTATTTTTTTTTTTACGGTCAACACCTTCCAGAATTTTTTTTCTTTATTCAAACCTTTTACTTTTCAAAATCCGTAAAAAACCTAATATTTTAACGCGTCGTCACGGTATTGTTACAAAATGCATTACGTGGCACCTAGAAATTGACGTGGCACATGCAGCATTTCCTTATTCGTTAGGTTCAGATGTGGATCTGCTTTTTGATGATGTGGCTTATTTAAATAAAAAATAAAAAAAAAATAAAAAATTTTAGAACAAGAGCTCTGGGTTCCTTGTGAGGAACCCGATCTTCTCTGGCGACCGGGATCCTGGGTAAAGGCAAACACCGTTTCAGCTCCCTTGACTAGCTTTTTAGAGTACGCATCGTTGTCGCGAAACACGATTGAGGCAGCCGCTAGTGCCGCTGCCATCTCACCGGCAAGATCAGGCCCGGCAATTATGGTCCGTTCGGGAACTCAGCTCTGGGTTCCGGAACTCAGCTCTGGGTTCCGGAACTCAGCTCTGGGTTCCGGAACCTAGAGCTGGGTTCCTTGTGAGGAACCCGATTTGGGTTCCTCACGACGAGGAACTCAGAGTCGAGTTCCTCATGGGTTCCTCGGGAGGAACCCAGAGCTGGTTCCTCGGGAGGAACCCAGAGCTGGTTCCTCCGGAGGAACCAGCTCGAACCCACTGGGTTCCTTGTGAGGAACCCAGCTCTGGGTTCGGGACCCCAGAGCTCCTATTCTAAATTTTTTTTTTTTGGTGGGGGGCGCGGGGACAAGCGGGGGAAAAGTTTCGTGCAGTGAGCTCCACTGCACACGTGGTGTCCACGTGTGCAAAAAAGAAGCCATTTCATCAAAAAGCAGATCCACATCTGAACCTAATGAATAAGGAAACGTCGGTTGTGCCACGTCAATTTCTAAGTGTCACGTAGTGCATTTTGTAACGGTACCGTGACGGCGCGTTAAAATGTTGAGTTTTTTACGAGTTTTGAAAAGTGAAAGGTGTGAATAAGGAGGAAAAATTTTAAAAGGTGTTGACCGCGAAAAAGAAAGAAATGGAGGGTGCAAATAGGGGCTTTGGCCTTCCTAGATTTTGCACTCCACTTTCCATCTTTGTTCCAAGAACGAATGAAATTGCAAGGAAAATTCTGCCTAAATCTCCTTTCTTCTTTTTCCCTTTTTCTAGTCCATTTTTCAAGGGAATCACAAATAAAATTGAGATTTCGTAGTAAACTTTTAACTTACACATCAATTAACGAACAAATATATAATTGTCAAACCATCTTAATATATAATTTAGCACGGTGTGGTACGGTAATTTTTTATATAATTTTTTAATATAATTTTTAT